CTCAGCGGCCAGAGCACGCAGCTTCAGTAAACCCTGGAGGGAAAACACGACTCAGTGAGTCACCACCTGCACTGTTTGAAGCACAATATAAAGTTTGTCACACGGTGTTGATGTTAGGAACAATGTTTAAAGCTGTAATGCTTTCATTTATATGGTGTCAGTTAGTCATATTAAAGCAGTGTGCGGGAGAAGGTGAAAGCTTCTCTCAGTGTCGGACTTAGACTGTGGGCATATGGCTATTACCTGGAGGCAGTACTGTATATTTAAACTAAATGTGTATAGAACTCACAAAAATAAAGGTTTTCCTTGATTAAAAACAACATTGACTATTGGTAGATGACCTGAATTGCATACTTGGGTTCGTCGACACCACATATTCACACAAAGTGGCCACCAGTACCAGCAGATTTACATGTGGTTTCTAGGAGAGGTCAACTTTTTTCAGCATCTGTACAGCAACAAATACAGCTATAAACCTGTAACTACCACACATTTGTAGCTGAGTTCACATGGATTCAACAGTTTGGACAGTACAGCTTTGACAAAGGGATACACTCTACTGAGTCCCACTCTAGTTTCAATAGAATTGGCACAATTAGTGGATTCACTCGCAGAGTAATTGTGCATATTTGTACAGTTGAGGAATTACAGACCTTTGAAAACACAAGCTACTGCAAGTTCAGATCTGAAACAATAAGATAATTAATCAATTAGACGATTGTAAGAACATAAAATAAAAAACTGTATTGATAATCATTCATCGTTTTAGTTCATTTTCATTTAATTTGTTTATATCCTTATTCCAGCTCTTTTTATTAAAAAAATTGCCTCCAAAGAGATGGAAAGAAACACTCATGAGTAGTGAGTAAATGAAAAGTTCTGCTATTTAAGTTTAATAATTATATTTTTGTGTTGCATCAACCATAGAAGCCATAGTAGAGCTTTCCCCTTTTTTTCTATTTTTCACAAAACAAAATGAAAAGTGTGATATGTTTAAATGAAGTGAGAACATATCTCTGTGTGAAAGGTGTTTGGTATAAATGTAAAAAAATATATGTATTATTTGCAGTTAATGAGTAAAAGCATGCAAAGTCTCCTTTAAGATCAGAAGATGTGTACTCCCAGGAGTCAGCAGCCTCCGAGACGATCCCGTGTCAGTAAATGTCAAGCGCGAGTCAGCGGCGTCCTCGCACCACCAGCCATGCGTAATGGGCTAAGAACAGAAGTGAGAGATCGAATGCAAGAGGGAGACGAGAGTCGAGAGGAAACATGTCTATTATCCATCAAATTAAATCAGCTTAATTAGAAACAGATTTCAGGCCTGAATCAACGTTTTACTACTGATGGAAATACATTGCTATATTTGGCTGGAGTTTGGTTCAGGGAGTTGATGTATTTCATAGGTGTAAATGACAACCTGACAAGGTGATGACATGCTGTACAGAACTAAAACGGAGGAATAAAAGTACCTGTGTGTATATATTCTCTTCTACCTGTCACTCTCTTCACCCACACGAATCCCCATGATTACCACCATCCACCATTCATCCCTCTTTTTCTCGTCCCTCCTTCCTGTGTGTGTCCCTCCTTTCATCTCTCAACATTTGAGTTGAGTCTTTCTCCCCCTTTTACTGATGTCTCACTCTTTATGTTGCTGAGCGAGAGAGGGTTTGGAATCGAAGTGTGACTGACATGTGGATCAATGTTTCCATTTTCAGACCTGGGGTCAGGGCCAGATCACGCCTTCTCTTGTTTTGCTTCGCACCGGTGCTTCGCAGGGCCTCTTATGTAAAAGACAGTTGGTGTGCTAGTGCATGTCGGATCTGGGTGTGTCTCTGTCTGTGTGCCCATGTGTGCTTTTCTCTCTGTGGGACAGTTCATGATCATTTGTGCACAATGTGCAGGTTTTAAAAATAACATTAAAATTATTTCATTACAATGTGGTCATTCTTTAATATTGCTCTTTGCGCTCTGGGGTTTTTACTTTTGTACACGTTATTACTGGCTGTGTGTAACGATGGGAAACCAAGGCTGAAAGCGTATTCTTCTACCAGTGAATGGCTGATGTCGATTATATTTGCTCTCATTCAGGCCTGTTTTACATATAAAATGAAAAATGTGTCAGGATGTGCTTTGGTCAGAGAGATACAGTAAATTCTTTATTCTGGGTCAGTCAGTCGACCTTGTGAAAGTGTTAAAGGGATTGTTCACCTAAAATGAAAATTCACTCATTGTCTACTTACCACAATGCCGACTGGGGGGGTGGGGGTGTTTGACTCCACAAAACACTTTTCATGTGATGATATAGAGCCTATTCCTAAAAAAACATTAGGTAACAACAACCCGTCAGTTAATCTTTAGAGTTCAAAGGTACAGAATGGCTGCATCATTTATTCATTTTACACCATCAGTGTGGTTTATGAAATCACTGCAGGAGAAAAACATTTCAGCTCCCAGAATTACAGGTAATTGGATCAAATCCAGTCTGACCGCCACCTGAACTCTTCATCTCCCTCATATTAACACCAGGGCCCATTATGAACAGATGATACAGTTTAAAGAGAGAACTAACATTTGTTTAATTATTATTATTATTACCAATCAAAGTCAAATTGAAAAGCATTACTTTTTTTATGTGGAAATACCTCTGAGGTCTGTATGATTCTCGTCCTGCTCGGAGTGTGTCCTGTCACTCTGTGATGTGTGTTAATAGTTGACACGTAGTGGGGGTTTCAAAATGAGAGGTGTCTCTTTGTATCAGGGCTGACAGCTTAAATTTGCAGCTGTGAATAAACAAACAAACTTCTGGATATGATCAACAACATTGAGAAAGAAAGAAATATTTAATAGAAACAGATAATGAAAGAAGTTTTACTTCCTGTCTGCATCACTAGAAAATAAAAATACTTATTGTCAGTCTGCCTGGATTCCATTCACAAGTAAATGAACTGGCTCATTACAATACAACTGCCATCATGTTCATGCATCTCTTCCAGCAGGAAAACACAAACAAGATGGACTCCCAGAAATGAACAAGATTCCACTCTGAAGGATTTTTAATGATGCGCCAAAGTAAACACTGAACAGCCTCTCTACCCCAATGTCTGTGTGTACCCATTAAAATGATTCACTCTCATCTAGGGAGGAATTTCCATGACACTTGTGTATTGATCTCCTGCACCAAAGTTTTGCTTTGTCTCGCAACTCTGTTTCCCCTTGAGCTGCGAGATGAGGCTGAGCTGCACACACACAAGGATTCAGAAATGAAACTATATTATGTAATATATATGCTATAAACTATATAACACTATATTTTCTCATCTCCTGCTCTTCATTGGTGCCTGCACTTGTCACTAGAGTGATAACTTGACAATTTACACAGGATAATGGATAATCAGACTTATTAGACTTTACAGGAGCAAGTTCACCCCCTGAGCATCTGACCATCGGGGGCTTTTTAAAAATCTGAGATGATTCTGAAATGCTTTTAACATTTACACACATCCCGTTAGAGTGGTCAGAAAAAATGATCACTTTGTTTCTGCAGGCTGTTCTTCGCTGTGGCTTTTAAGTATGTGTGTATGTGTGTGTTTGCTGTAATCAGTCAGATGCAGGGACAGGGAGAAGGAACACAGCATGCTGTGCTGGACGTAGTGTGCAGAGCAGTTTATAAACAGTCTAAGGTGCAGAGTGAAGTTAGAAAACTTTTTATTCATCCTAACTGGTTAATCTGCAGTGGAGATTTTATAGTCAATGTTTTTCATAAAGTGAATCTGAAGTTGCTTGATTACAGTTCATGCGATTTTGACTCACGGTTTTCCGACTACTGCTGCAGTTTTTCTGAGGATGTAGATATGCATTCCACAAAAATGCAGACAGACAGACATTTGTGGAATTAATGGGTAGATGTATTTGCTGGCATAAACATGTACTTGCAAACATAGCGTAGCAGTCTGTAACTCCTTATCCTGCTGCAGGTCATTTTAATCCACAACTTTCTGCCTTTGTTCTGTCTGAATGAAAACCATGATGTCAGAAAAGTAAATGTGTTATTATGCAAATCAATTGTGCGTCTTTGTTTTTGGGAAAGAGTGAGAGAGCACGAGCATGGGAGAGATAACCATGCTTTTGAAGCAGAATGCCAATTCTGAGTTGCCTGTAGAGACTCACATAGGGAAACAGTGTTTTTTTAAATTTTGTCTGTCTCCATGGAGTTTTTTTATTTGGGATTTTTCTTTTTAACGAGTATTACCTCCTCCTGTTCGTATTCTCAGAGGGGTTTTGAATTATTATCTGCTGTATGTGTTTTTATACAGCTTGTGTGCATGTGCATAGCTGAAAATAGTATTTTTCTTTCCGCACAGACACTGAATTCTTACAGGTGTATGTGTTTGAATTGCCATCATCTGAGCACTCCTCAGTGTTTTTTCTTCCGTCTTAGTGGAATGATATCATTATTGAAATGGGGTGTGAGGACCACATACAGGTGTCTGTATTTTTGACCGCAGCCTGTTAGAACCTTGTTGATGATGCTGGGAGGCTGATTGACTATGTGTAGCAACATGGTGCCAGGGTTAGAATATAATTACACTGTATGAGAACAGAAGAAGGGGGAGGTGGAGAGAGAGAAAGAAGGATAGAGAAGACTGAAAGTGGTTGGTACTGCTGAGAAATTATTTATAGCTGATTCTAACTGATTTGCGGCTGGTAGAGAGGCTGTGATTTGTGGATGAGTGGCTGGTTCTCAAGAGGAGAGGTTGGGGTTGGTTTGTTGGGTTGATTAATGATTGTATTTGTATATATTTTTCTCTGACCTGTGTATAAGCTGTTCCCACATCTGAGGAATAACTTTGGAAACATTGACAGAAATGAGAACCAAGCTATTACAAACCGGAATATCATCTGGTATTAAAAAAGGATAATTTTCAGTGGACATAATGTTGTTTTGTTGTTTCTACAACAATTATTCCGGCATTTTCCTTTGTGTTTTCATCTGGCAGGTACTACAGCGCCACCATCCTGCAGATGTCCGGAGTGCGGAATGACAGGCTGGCAATCTGGTTGGCCGGGCTCACCACCCTCACCAACTTCCTGTTCACTCTGCTGGGAGTGTGGCTGGTGGAGAGAGTGGGACGCAGGAAGCTCACTCTGGGCAGCATCATAGGCACGTCACCTGACCATATCAGGGTGTGAAGTGTTCAAATCTTAAAGATTGTTTTTTTTTAATCTCACGAACATTGTTTTTTCAACAGGCACATGTTTGAGTTTGAGTCTGTTGGCCACCGGTTTTCTGATATCTGCCCAGCACAGTCCTCCTGTCACCTTCCACCCGTTAGACCCCGCCATGGCCAACTCTACTTGCTCCAAGTACCAGTGAGTACACAAACACAGACAGACACACACAGAGCTCTCAGTGAGCCACAATGGATCATGAAATTCTGTCTCAGCGACTAGAAAACACTTTATTTGGACTTTTTAGCTTGTCCTATATCCCAAGTGTTTACATGACGGAGGAGGAAGCGATCAAGAAGTTTTGGCTTTTGGGGAGCTGTCATGTTATCCATCTCTATATACAGCGTGCGATGCAGAGTCTGGCTGAGTTGTCCTTTGACACCAGGCAGATCCATTCATGTCAGGGTCTGTGTTTAATACACATCTGTTTATTAGAAAAGGCACATTACAGTCACAGTATTCAAGCCACAACATTTATTCTTCTGTTTCCTCTGACCCACAATGGATTTATCAATAACAACTAATATAACAATGGTTTGTAGTGGAAACAAGTGTGTATATATTGTTCATGTCTATATGACTAACCCTATGATTGTGATTTGTTAATATAAAAATTTGTTTCATCGATTGACGACTTTGATCATTTCCCAAATGATGACTAAATCATTAGCAACAAAGGGCAAATGTACACACACACACACACACACACACACACACACACTGAGCATCTCTCCATGCGAGTCAGAGATCAGATGCCTCCATGTCCCAATTTACACTCGACTTGCACAGACACGAGATGGATCTCATGTGTAGCTGCAGTCTTTCATCATAACAACAAACTAGGACTAATGGACTTGTTCTCTGGCACCTACACACTGTAACGAGCTGCCACACACACACAATCACAGAGGTAATTTGAAGAGATGAGTGCTTTTACCACACTGTAGTGGCTTCATTGAGTTCACTTTACTGCATATGAGCCCACACACCCTCCTGACTGACCACAGCAGCATCAGAGCAGCAGCTGAGCCACCACGGGCCTCCCATAGTCATTGTGAATGGGACGTCCCGTGAAAGCATATACTCTTAAGGGTTATATAGATAGCTAAATAAAAATCTCTTTAATATGTTACATTTAAATTAAAGCAATTGCCCATTCTTTAAGCCCCTGCACAATTATATTAGACTACGGTGATATTATTAAGATACAAAGGAGGTGTCCATAATAAAGTTATAATATAACTGGAATAAAGTCGTAGAAAGTGAACACAAAATAACATTTCCTCCAAGTCTGTGACGTTCTTTCTTCAGAATAAACACAGTTTTTACACAATCTTTTCAAAGTCCTGATACTTTTGGTAATATGGTGCTGATATGACAAAAGATTACGTTATATTTGTAAAACATACTAAAGTAGAACTCAACAAGATATTTATTTTCCTTCTCAGGCTGATTTTCTGATATTCCCCCTCTAAAATGACATGAAACCTAAAATTATGACACTATTCTCAGAAAATTACAACTTTATTCTCATAAAATTACAACTTTACAACTTTAATCTTGAAATCTCTGATTTTTTCAAATATTATATACACATTTTTACATTGCATACTTCCTCCTCACCTTCCTACAGTGTTTTCCTTTACTTCAGAGGACATGGTTTTATTTTCATGTGGCTGACCTCTGTGTGTTATTTGAGCAAGTGCCCCGTACACAGGGAGTACACTCTCTACAAAAATAGGCTCAGGAAACAAAACACACATTTCATGCACTTCCATCAGGCACAACGACAACAAACCTAATGATGCTTTATGAAAAAAAAAATATGTATCCTTGTGAAGGTTTGGTTTGTCCCTATTTCAGAGACTCTTACATGTGTACAGCTACATAGCTGACATGACAGGATACACTTTTAATTAAAGAGATGTAACAGAGGGACTAGACAGGATGAAGAGATAATGATGGTGAATCACACACCATTTGTTTTTTTGTTCTTCATTTTAATTCAACGCTTCCGGTATCTATGGAACATTCCATACATTAATTTCATTCAGGTAATAAGGCAAGTAGCAATTAGAGGGGGTGGTTTGTGCTCGCTGTACACAGTGCATTCACAAAGGATTTACACCCCTTCACCCTCTTCACCTATTGTTATGTAGCAGCTTTATGCTAAAAGTTTATGTTATACCCGAATTAGTCTACACCCATCTCTACCACACAAGACAACGCAAAGAAAAAACTTCCAGCCACCCATCAATTATCTATATGGCTTTTCCTTTAAATAGATAAAGTTATTATTTAAGGAGCCAATCCCAGTGTACACTCACTCTCACATTCACGCCAAGGGTCAATTTAGAGTCTCCAATTGACCTAACCCCAATCTGCCTATCTTTTGAAATGTGTGAGGAATCCGCACAAACACAGGAGAGCATACAAACTCCACACAGAAAGGTCCTGGCCTTCAAACCAAGAACCTTCTAGCTATGAGGTCACAGTTCAGACCACTGCACCACCATGCCACACAAACCACAACAGAATTTTTTTATATTTTGTCTTGTAATGTTTAAAACTATGAAGTATAAAGGCCACTTGAAAGGGAAAATATATCTAAGATTTTAAGAATAAAATTGTAATTTTAGGCTATGTGCCATTTTATAGGGGGAAGATCAGCCTGTGTTGAAATTTAGTGTAGGTACTTTAGTAATGGTTTCATAAATAGCAAAATACTTCATCTTTTGGCTCATCAGCACCACATTGTCACAAGTATCAGACTTGGAAGAAGTTGTAATGTTTGGTAGTGGCTGACTGTGAGGCTGTCGATCGTGTTTTAGATCTGCGTGCTAATCAAAGATGATATTCTTGTGATAAAATAACCTTGTTAGATTACTACTTTATTCCTGAAATCACGTAACATTTGTTTCTTCATATGGCCCAAATACTCCATCGTAAAAAGGAAAAAATCATATATCACATTGATGTGACCCTTTTTTCTCTGACATTTAACATTTTGCTCATGTTACTCCAATTTGTATAAATAATATTTCAAAAATGTCTTCACCTATCACTGAATCATTGTGTGCACTCCACACAGGCTAGTGTGTTTACAGAGTTAAGGGAATTTGTGGAATTATTAAAAAAAATTATAATCTTGACTTCTAGTGACCTAGACTTGTTATCCCTCCTTGGTTTCGATTGTACTTGAGGTATTTTGTTTGACTGTTCACTTGCACACTGGGCAGGGAATCTTTTCTGTTAATATATATCATACATTCAAGTGAGGGGAGGACTTTGATTGATTATGTTCATGGGAATTAAAGTTAATGTGTGCTGTGTCTGCTGTGTGGCCTGCAGACTGTGTGAGCCGTGCATGCTGGACCCTGGGTGTGGTTTCTGTTACCGTGAGAATGGCTCGGCACTCCTCGCCTCCTCCTGTGTTGCAGTCAATAAGGCCTCAACCGAGCGAGCCGCATGGGGCAGGTGAGTCACAGGATGCAGGGATAAGCATGTGTGCATGTTTAGGATACAGCAGAGAGGAAGCTCTGCTGTGGCAGGAGGAAACATGTTAATAACATAGGATTAGAACATGAATTGAACGTGTGACATGACATATATTAAACATATCCTCCAGATGCTCCAACACCAGCCTAATGAGAGATCAGACGTACTGGGCCTACAACTACTGTCCCACCTCCTACTCCTGGCTGGTTCTGCTGGGTCTCGTGCTCTACCTTGCTGCTTTCGCTCCAGGTAATGGTTCAGCGTCCTGTTGGCTAACCTATTGCACCTGGCTAACTTCTTGACCTAATTTCCTTTTGGGGTTGAATAAAGTAATCTATCTATCTCTCTATCCTCTCTGCATGCAGTCAGTGTATAAGCGTGAATTTACACTTCAATCATGTTTGGACCTCTCCAGTAGTCGATTGGTAGGGAGATGAGGGAGGATGCAATCCCCTTAAAACCTAAAAGACCTAAAAAACATACCTCTGAAACAGCCTGCTAATAATCTCCTCTAAGCAATCCCTCCATCACCTGTTAGTGAGAGTGTTGTGTGTGCACTTGAGTATCCTGTTATTAATGTTGAAAATGAAATCACGGGATCCACAGTTAATTTTTTATGGTTGAAGCTGAAAAGCATCAAAAAGAAAAAGAGGACAGGGATTTTTGCTTCCCAAACCCTTACTGTTTGTCAAAGTTTCACCGACTATCAGTAGCACTGAGAGAAATCCTACCAGTGTCAGTATTCTCTAAATTAAAGTTTTACTCTTATAATTATTTGTTTGTTTTATTTGTTCGATTATTCAAAAACTACTCACCGGATTTCCACAAAACTTGTTGGAAGGATGGTACATGGGCCAAGAAAGAATCTATTAAATGTTAGCGTGCATTAGGACCAAGGGGCAGATTCAGGGATTTTTTTATCACTGTCTTTAATGTGTTTTTTTTGTGACTTTTGCCATTTTCACAGGAAATAATTTATGAACAAAATCAGGCATATGTAGGAGACTGGTGAAATTAGGTGCTGCTTGATTGAATTTAAGGGGACTGCTGGGCCGTCCTGGATGTACAGTTTGCAATTCTAGATTCTAGCTGCTTTGCACTTTTGTTGTTTTTACTCTGGCAGAAAGCCTCAGAATTGTACAAGCCTCATGTAATTTTAATTAATTCCAGGAGATTAAATATTCCAAATAGACACACACTGGTCATTGATCGGCAAGCGTGGACAAGAATTTAATCTCAATGTGTACTCAGCATACACAGTCATACTCCTCCATCCGTTCCTCTGTTGTAACTTCTCCACCACCAGGCCTCATGTCTTATCTCTTTCTCTCAGGTATGGGTCCAATGCCGTGGACCATCAACTCAGAGATCTACCCGCTGTGGGCAAGGAGCACAGGGAATGCCTGCGCTGCCGGAGTCAACTGGACCTTCAACATTCTGGTGTCTCTCACCTTCCTCCACCTGGCTCAGTACATCACCTACTATGGTCAGTGCCTGGGTTTCTAGGTTTTCAGGAAAAAACAATTAATCGAGCCCGAACAATACATCGAATGGCCAATAATATCAATCAATATGAGCCTTTCAAAGACACACTGGTGCTGTGATTTATCTTTGGTGATATGAAAACAGATAAATCAATGCAGAAAAGACAAGCAAATGTGTTTATATATTATGTAAAGTTATTATCAAGCTCTTCATATTTTGGTATGTTTGTGTTTTCTTTTTATTTATAGTTATTCATGATAATATTTATGGTTAAACTGTAAAATATCAAGTTTCAATTATTGTAAGTGTGAAACAAAATCATTGCCACAGTTCTTTTAATAAATATTTTGGCTGATATACCATTATCAGTCATTTTTTCCCCCTAATATATATATATATTGGTGCCAGCCCCCAAAAATCCATATCGGTCGAGCTGACCTAAGTATAATTAAAGCTTTTATTCTTTATTTTTGTGGAATGAAGAGAAGAAGATAGAACAGGGGCTCCTGTGATTTTCTCTTTTCTAAAAGCTGAACTGAAAAGTGTAATAATAATCAGACTAAAAGCTTCTGTCAGGAACAGTTGCTCCTTGACATCAGTGCTGTCAGTGTGTACATAACCCCATGAGCAGATCTTGTGTAACATCCCTTCATCTTCACCTTACGTCAACACCAGCGAGGAAGTAAAAGCTAATTCACCCTGAGGCATTGCCGACCGTTTCATTTTTTCCCCTCCCCCCAATGCTCTTCTGCACCTCCTCAGTCAATGTGGCTCAACAGCAGGTTTCTCCTCATCCAGGAAGGAACTGACCTTTCGTGACGCTGGTGAATCGATCCATCAGGAGCGATCGTAGGGGATCCTGAGATGCGGCGTGTCAATGATCGATTTTAGGCGTTCATCCATTTATCCGGTTTATAAAAATCGTTCACTGAGAATGACAAACTGTAGCGAAACTAAACACACACATTGAAGTCATTGTCTGTAAATTTTAAATGTCATTGTGATTTGAGAAGAGCAAAATAGAGATCACAGTGGGCAGGAAATCTCATTATCCTCTGTCAGTGTTTCTGTATGAAGGCTTGTTTTTCCAGGTGTATTTGTGTCTCTATGCAGTTATTTCCTCCCCCTGTTAACCTGCTCTAATGTCACTCTGACAGGGGCATGTTATTTCTACCTCACATTTATCGTATGGTGACTAGCAGCCTGAAAGTAATGCTTCAATTCGATAAACATTTCCACACACATACACATCTGAATTGTAGAAGCTGGCAGGTGGTCAAGATCTAATATTAGCTGCCCTCTGGGTCTGCTGTCACCATCGCAGGCTCTTTTTCCTGGATGATAAACGACAACAAGCCAACGTGTTCAGAAAAAAAAGGTGTCGGCTCTATAAAGTCATGGCAATGTGTTAGTGGCCGATCTCTCTGACAACAAAAACAGCCACAACTGGCAACTGTTGCAACACAGAGAGGAACTTAAGAAAAATAGATCTTAATTGAATGTCATTTGGGTATATGCCATTTTTAACTACATACATCCACTTGACTATTAATCCTAAAATACAGTTTCTCTATTAATAAACTGCTACAACTGTGAACTGAGAGAATCATGCAGTGACGGTGTGTTTTTCACCCCCCTCCCCAGGAGCTTTCTTCCTCTACTCCAGTATGGCCTTGCTGGGTTTCATCTTCATCTACGGATGCCTGCCGGAGACCAAAGCCCGGCGTCTGGAGGAGATCGAGGCACTGTTCGAGAACCAGCTCTGCTCCTGTGGCGCTACTGATTCTGACGAGGGAAGGCAGGTCGAGTACATCCGGGTCAAAGGCTCAAACTATCATCTATCTGACAACGACGCATCTGATGTAGACTAGGGAGCGTTTCTGTTGCTGTTGTATTTTCCCTCTGCAGAGAGGTTGGGTGGGTAATATTTATAATTTTTTTAAACATGAGCTAAGGAGTCACTGATTTCCCTCACTGCAGTTTGATAACAGCGTAAAAGGTATTTTGCTTATATCAGCAATGTGAGTTCACTTTCAAATAAGTCAATTCAGGAATCCGAAAATCAACGACAATGCTTGAGTTTGAGTGTAAACGTTTTGGTTTCAGATAATCTCTGAGCTGAGGGTGAACCTACACCAAATCTGCTTTAGCCACTGGCTGAATTCTCAACCATGAACGTAGAAAAGACGAAAACATTCTCTTTTCCACACCTAAAGAGATCTTCACATAAATACACAGAGATCCAGTGTCAGGAAACATGACATATATTCATGTATAAGGGACGTCCACCCCTAAAAAGTATTTTACAAAAGGGGCTGTGGCACCAATGTTTTTTTTCTTTGAGTATATATCAGTTAGAATTTCTATATAATGTTGTACATACAGTACAGTAGAAGAAGAATAACATGACATAGCCATCCTTACAGCGTCATGTCGTTATTAGTGATCGTGGTCTCGGAAACTTGGACGTGTGCGTCCACAAAGTTGCCGTTGGCGTGACTACTGTTGTAACTCATCGTTGATCTGTAGAACCATTCTGCCTTTCTATATAAAACACATCTCAGTTAAATGTCGTTTTAAGCTTGTAGCGTTGCACATAAAAGCAGCACGATGTAACATTAGTTGAGCCACAGCGCCCTCTGCAGCCACTCATAGTGATTCATTCTGTTGGGCTCAGTGTCTGAGCAATTGCTTTTTTCATGTAGAGAACAAAACAAAGCCTGTTAATGTGTTAACCAGAGTTCTGAATGTGTAGTCCCTGAACTGAAACCCAACTGAACGGTGGATATTACCCATAATCCCCAGCTTCCTGAGCAACAAGAGCTGCTGCTGTAACAAATACACTTAAAAAAAGTCTTAATGTTTTAAGGGGTTTGTCGCTGAGTGTTGGAGATAAATTCTGGCTGAGATAAACTCAGCTTGAATTGTCAGAATCAGGTCCAGCACCTGATTCTGACAATTCAAGCTGCAACTGTCAGTCAACACTCCTCACAGAAACAACTCACCAAAGTAATATAGAGTAAGAACAGCTGTTCAGAGTAAAGAGTGGGAATGAAAGAGGCTCCATTCTCCTTTTTCCAAGTCAGTGTAGCATCCAACAAATTTTTAAGCTGCTATTTTAAGTTAGAAAAGGTTGTATAGTCATGCTTTAACAGTCTCAGCAAACACGAGAGATGTACAGTGTGTTGTTTAAAATTAGCAACCTATATTGTCAGTGGGTGCACAAAGACACCACTGCAGTAGCACTGAAAGGAATATAACTAATACGGTCCATTGTTGTTTATTTATAATTATTTATAATTTTTGCACAAATGATGAATATCTCTTCAGTGTAGTTTGTTTTTACTGGTTGGTTCTGTTTCCTATCTGCGTCTCAAAAAAGGCAGTTTGACAAATGCAATTAATCTACAATCGGATTCATTCTGTCTCTATGACCCGATGCTATAAACCTTTCATCGACCACAGCAAGTCACCACTGCTGGATATATTTTCCATTTAATAATATATCAAACAAAGAAAGCCAGTGTCCTCTATCTGTGGTGGTGAATTACAAAATATTAGTTTTATCTTAACATGATAATATTAGTGCCTGTGTTTCGTGAAGGTGCCTAATGGCCATTTTTTTCAGTCACATTTGTAACGTGGACTTGTATGTGTTATGTCATCTTATAGGTCTACATAGTTTTTTTTAATTTGACATGTACATATTTGCCTCTCATCTATGGCGGAATTGTATTTTTTTATTATTATTATGGTTTAAAGTATTTCGATTTTTCGTCTTCCTCCATAGCCTTATGTACAAAATAGCAGAGCGTACCAGTTACTGTCTGTGGTTCTCATGTCAACACATTGCGGAGTAGGACTTAGTGTAATTTGCCAGTGTTGTTTTGTAGAATTGAAACTGTGTGAGGGTTGTTAGTCAAATACACAGAAGTTTCAGTGTATCGAAAACTGTCTGAAAGGTAACAACTGAGTCACTTTAACAAAACCGATAAATGAGACGTCATCAGGTTGTGCTGTTTCTGTGTTCAATGAAAAGAGTTCTTATGATAGATTAAGGAGAGTCCGTGGTATTAACCCGTAATGAATTCATATGATCTTTGAATTAACGTTTAAAATGAGCAAGATTTCAAGATATCACATTCAGACATGACTGCTGTGTTAGATCTTTATAAACGTTAGCACCGTAGTCCTCCAATAAATAGTAAAAAAGCGATCACAAAGCATCCAGCACCTTCATGTGGAAACCCAATCAGTCCTTCAAACACACTTTGAAAACGTTAACATAGATTTCATTCACAGCATCATATCCAGCCCATTATTTACTAATTGTAGTTTTTACCTGCCGATCAGTTTCCAAATCATGCCATACATTTTAAATTGATTGATTTTGATTTTTGAACCTTTCAATTCCATTCTTTTCCAGAAGCAATGAAAATCTATCCGAAAAGACAATCTTGCTTGAAATAGGTAACAAATGATAATGTATGCATGTGTTTTTTTTCCTATTTTTATTCAACAGCATGATTTCACTTTCAGATTTTGCAATCCTCTCACTCAAAACCCAGAGCTTGCACTCAGATAGCCCCTGCTTATGCTCAAACGCTTGCAGACATTATGTGGCTTGCACTCAAATTTCCAGTCTGTCAAAATTCCCAAACCAATAGAATGCCAGGTGTAGTGTTGACAAATGAAACTGAAGTCCTGCTCTCAAACTGAAAGACCACACTCTTGAACAAAGATAGGGGACAGAAAACACAATATTGAATGTTTAAAACCACACAGCCTTAGAATGGAAACTATAAAAGTCATAAAAATCCATCAGTGATTTCTGAAAATGATCAGCAGTAATGTAAAGTACCTGTGATTTGTAGTAATGAGGCTGAAACATGGAAATTATCTGGTATGAGGTAAAAAAAAAAAGTGTTGGGGAGAAACATCCAAAATAAAGGATTTATTCACTTTCAGAAAAAGACGATTAACCGCTTTTTCTACTTGGTAAATTAGTCCTTAAAACCTGCTTAATTAACCTTTAAAACTAATGGAGACTAGTTTGTACAGGTTTAAAAGCAAAGAAAATAACCAGATATTGTTTGAACTCAAAACCACACAAACTAGTTTTGTACTGAGAGTGCAGATAAAACATACGTTGATGACCCAGATTGTGTAACGAAAAGCTTGTGTTGACCAAATATTTACTGTGAGTGTTTCAGGTTGCAGCTTATCACCGACGTTAGCATCCTGTTTGTGTTAACACTGTCCTCCACCACACGGGATGTTTTCACGTGTTCTTATGGTGAAATGGTTGTAATTTTTTCTATGTGAACCAACTACATGTGTTTCTACAGTTTATGAGGAACTACAGAATACAAATTTAAAAAAAAGTGCTGTATAGTTTATTTGACTATTGTTCAAGCTGTAAATGTTTTGCTAGAGTTTATATTCTATAAAATAAAAATATCTTCTTGAAATCTTAACACTTGAATATGTATATGGGGAAAGAAATAAAGTTATGAATCAGAGAAAGGCTTTTGGGGGATTTATTTCACTGTCTCTGAACAAACACTGAATACTATATGTGGCTTTACACCTTAAAACACATTTTTGAATAAATACTTTGAAATCTAAAAAACACATGCACAGAACAGGCATACTTTTAAATTCTTGCCTCCTTCCATCCAGATTCTGTTCGTCCATCTATGTCACCCCTCCTAAGTCTTCCTCTCCTTAAGCAAGAGCAAAATATCTGCAATTTCCTAAGGAGCTCCAGTCTCCTCTGCGGTGGCACATGTGACCTCTTCTCTCATGCTCTCCGAGAGGTCTGTCATCACAGGGCCAGTTTCCTGTCGCCCTATCTCATTTCTGCCCTCTTCACTCTCTTCACCTACATCAGAAACACAATTAGGATTTGGCAAAATGAGTGTTATTCATTTCTGAAGTATCTCACTGTTATACCTCTGGTAGCAGTCACACTTGTAGCATCTGGAAAGCAGTTGATGGGTATCTTTAGGAATATTTTGCCATTGTCGCGTGGTAGAGAATCAGCCTTGGGTTTCTTCTTGCTCCAGGGCGTATTCTTCCCTCCATTCGCTGTTGAAGCTGAGTGTGTGTTCGTCTGAGCAGCGGTGTCCGTCTGCCTCCCTGTGGCTGCATGTTGCATCGTCAGGCTGACAGGTGGAAGGTGCATGTGAAACACAGAATGTCTGGACTCACCGTCTGCAGTGAAGATGTACTGAGTGGAGGCATCGCACATCTCTGCAGTGGGGATGGCGACAGTTTGAGTTCCTGCATCTCGAGTTTTGTTGGATGGCTTTTGGCACTTGCAAAGCTCTGTGTTCAGAGGCTGAACCAGAGGGTGAGAAGATGCAGCTTGAGCCGTCATGTTTTTTCTCTGTCGCCCGTTACTTCCTGAGGATTTGTCTGGGTAAGACAATATCTCCATTCCTTTTTCATCAACTCTGATGTTTGTTTTGGGTTTTATGAGGGGAGTGAGAGGCCTGGGCCGAGAGTGACTTTGTTTCGGTTTAACCTGTAAGCCCTGGTTTGAACTATCTACACAGCAGGCTCGTTCAACATATGAAGAAGCAGAAGGCTGGAGACATGGTGGGCAGTAATCTTCGTCCTAACACAGTTATAGAAGGAAGAAACAACAGAGTTCATGTGAAATATTATGTCTTCAGAGAACACTTGTGATTGATGTTTGGCTTTGAAAAAGAAATGAACAGAGATAAAGCCAATGATGCTGCATGTGTCGAGGAGTACACAGTGCACTATGGGAAAAGAAATATCTCAGTGATGTAATTAAGTCTTAATAAATGTTTATTTTCAGTATTCATTTTTGCTGTTAATCTGTTTCGTGTTATAGTCATAGGTCAATCGTATCCTCCTTTGAGAAGCTTGCTCTCCTTTGCCGTTATTTTTTGTTGAATTGTAAATAAATTCTTGATTTGTCCAAACATCAGCTTTGTTCATCTTATTTTTTCTTCCCTGGTTTCAAATTACATTACATCTGTTGCTCCCCTCATTCCCTGAATTTTCAAGGACATAACAAATGCAAGATGTAGGGTGTTTTTTTGACATTTTCATAGTTTTCCCAGGGAATAATTCATTAATCTTGATAAAACAAAATCAGGCCCATTAAGGGGACTGATATTTATGAGCGTGTGAAATTTAGTGCAACTTGACAGAATGTGAGGGGACTCTTGTTCTAGTTGATTTATTGCTTTAACGTCATTGTTCTATTTAAAATGAGAGCTTATGGCACCTACACTATAGTGATAGCGACTTTGCAAAGTTTAATTAACAGCAAAGCTTAAATATAGATAATTTAACAAATACAGTGCAACCTTGTGCAACTTCACTTACATCATTAGAGTCTGAACTGAGGTAACATCCTGTACAAGAGAAACTTGGTGAATATCCACAGTTATTCATGGAGTCACTGTGTCCAGGACATGCTTAGGAATTAAGAAAAATAAGGCATCGATTAATTTTCTTGCTTCCTCCAGTATATAAAGAACATCATAAAAATGTCTCAACACAGATGATAAAACTGCAGAAACTTACAAAGGTTTGTGTCACCGCAGTTGGAGAGCTGTCAAGGAAACAGAATTGGCAATTACAAACTCTACCACTTGGTGGCAGCAAATAGCTACTTTAAATATAGACTTTATTTACCTCCATTTCCATGCACTGTGAATCTGGTACAGTTCTGACAGTATCGATTAAGAAAGACAACAACATCAGAACACGTAAAAGATATAAATCACATCAATCATAATCATTTTAATGTTTATTTATGGAGTGTAAACACCTACTGTGGTGCTGAGGATTTGACTGGTGTTTCATTTTTGAGATGGATCTTTGATTTTAAGCTCCCAATATGAAAGGCTGCAATCAAATGTAATGTTAATCGGAGGATAAAAGACTCATTGTGCCAATTTAAAGGTTTAGAGCTAAATGTACCGTCTTTTTCGTTGTCTTCGTTACTGAAACCCCTGAAGATGTCCTCCTCAAACTGCTGCTCGCACTCTGACTGGTTCAGTATGAAGTTTATCATGGGCTCCTTGTCCTCTGGTTGGTTGTTGAGGTAGAAGCTGACCTCATGTCTTGAACGCCCGCTTACCTCTGTGATTCTGTGAAAACATACGTGCTTTGATTGGTTACAAAATCAAGGATAGCAAGTAATCCATCTTCGTCCTAGTGGTGGTCTGTGTGGCCGCACTCTGGTTCTGGACTTCCATACAGGACCCGTGCTGCTGTGGGTGTCTCCAGTTGGTAGAGGGGAGGGTTTGATCCACAGGACCAGGGCATGTTTTCCGTCATACCTCTGGGCTGGGAGAAAGGCTGAAACTAACAAAACAAATTTAGAATAGATTTTAGACAGCATCATATTTCAGAAAACGCCTCCTGGTAACAGGTCAGCCACAAGTCTAAAATACTATTTCTGGCAAACCTCTAGACACAGAGGAGAAATATGTCTCGCCATCACCATTTCTTTGTTTTCTAGATAAAAGTAATTAAAGTAAGTAATGTTCTATGAAATGGTAATTTTACATATGTGTTCTGTACACTTGAAAACCATGTTTTTTAGTTCTATGCATGGGATCACACTACTTTAAAATGTGCCATTAATAATATGATAGGTATTGTTGAAAGCACAGGCTTTCATCTGGTGACATGTGATTTTAGCAGCTTGCTATCTTACTTTACACAAGTGTGAATTCCTGAAGCATCAACATTTTAACTGAAGCAAATAAAGTAGTGAATTTTATAAAGGACATAATTTACCTAAGCTGTTTTGTATGGGTTTGGTATATTATGAGGTTATGGGGCTCTCTTGATGTTATGCTTAATCCTTAAAGGAGCAGTGGTGTAACCATGTGTTAAAACAGATTTGGTGATGACGCGATTTTGGTTGTGATGAATTTAAAGGTTTGTTATTTAACGGCCACAGAGGTGTGTGGCCAAAACTAGAATGCTGCTTTCTGATTCATTCCAGTGTCCCCTTGAACTTTAAACTATAATATTCTCTTTGCAGCACCTTGATCTGCTCCAGGCCGGAGTTGTTCCAGGCTGGAGGTGGCTGTGTCCGTGTTTGACCTCTTTGCCGCAGGTTCAGCTTCAGCTGGAACATTCCTGAGGAGAGCAGTGGGATTTGGCCTAAACCGACCAATTGCGCAATAATATTCTTATGCAAAGTTTAAAAAATGAACAATTAACATTATGTGACTGTATTTCATGCACGTCTGATTTACATAATAACAACACCTTGGCCTGAAGAGGCTGATGAAGTGGAGGAGAAGGGGCTGAGGGGGTTGGTCACGTTCTGCCGGTAGTCAGATGCACTGTTGTCTGAGAAAACTGACTCCAGCACTGGTGACAACTTGTGAGACAGAAAAATAAATGCCTTATAATTTACGTTTCCTTCATGTTCAGCCCCTTTTCTAAGATAAGAAATGCTTAAAATAGTACAATATGAATTACTGGAGAGAAACTAACCTGCCGACACTTGAAGATTTGTGGAATAGCATGACTTTTCTTTCTTGTTCCTTGACCACTATATGTAGATATAGAAAATAGAGTGTAGATGGCGTGTCATTAATCAGGTATTTATGATTTATTTACCAAGTATTATGACAGTTCCTGCAGCCTTAAGCAGTTTGCTCACTGAACTTGATCTAACTGCGATTAAACTGTTCGATATTGACAAAAAGAAAAGTATTCTTAAATGCATCCACAGCTGCAGCGTAGGAACTATTCTGGCTGTGACGACTCATTCTCCACCTGCACTGCGACTGGCTCTCAACCAGACTGAGCTGTGATGGAGAGCAGGGGCTCATCGGGAGAACCAGGGGATTATTTTGCTTTCTGGATCCTCTCCTGCCGCTGGAGAGGACTGCCACTTTAGGAAGATCTGAAAAAAGACAGACGCCCTTTATTGCCATAATGGCCACAATCCTGCCCTTATTACTGACCAAGACAACCTGTTTCTCTCACATGACACCAATTCTGGCGTCCATCCTATTTTATAATTATTAAAAAAAAACTTTTATTCAAAAAAAACTTAAGCTATAACTGATCTGAAGCCAGAGAACATTACTGAGCTATTTACTCCTAAACTACTTTCAGATGTTTGAAGAAGTAGTTAAGAGGGGTGACTTCTTAATTCTGCACAATCGTTTCAATTTCTCACCTTTATTTTCTTTTTTAGCAGCAATCTGGTTGACAATAAACAGAGTGACCAGGTCCAGGCTGCCAGAACCAGTGCTAGTGCCTCCGGGGGATGATGGCAGAGCTACCCCCGACTTTATTAGCTTCTTTTGCATTTTTCTCCTTTCAAAGAACTCCTGGCAGAAAAAACACAAACTATGTCTGTAATATACCGCTGGACACACGGAATGTAAAAGCGTGTAAAAATGAATTTCGGTTGGTTGAGTCACCCTCTGCTTCTTAGTGTCGCTTTTCATCACGAGTCGGTTCCTGCAAAGAGAGCAGTCTCGACGTTAGCATTTGCTAGCTTGGCTCTACTAATATTTTTTCTGATATTAGCACGACGGCTAGCTAAAGCATCACCCGTCTCTTACCTTGAACCCCCGACCCAATTCATCTTCAGCCGCTGTAACTGTCACAGAGGACGGCAGAGAGGTGAGTGTGAAAACAACTAAGCTAATGAGGGAGGTTAGCTAACCTGAGCTAAAGCTAAACGCCACTCTCCATCCGCGCGCTGTTCAGAAACGTTTGTGAATGAGAAAATGGTCTTTTTCTGCAGATTATTTTAATAATTAACGTCACGTCGTTTATTTGACGTTTTGTGTTGGGACATTTTGTGGCCGAAACAGACAGTATACTGAGTGATGTGGCCACAGTATTACAGCAACTCAATGATCCTATTGTGTGCATGCGCGGAGACAAGGTTGCCAGGCAACGCCGGCCACAAAAGTAGACCGTGTTGAATGTGATGGATGGGGAGAAAAGATGCTGGTTTAAAGAATATAACTGGACCCAATTATGTGCCTATTTTACTAACTGACCTCAAACTTCTGTAACATGACATCAATTTTAGAATACAGTACAAGATGATGAATATACCTTGTACGTTCGAAGGTCTTCAGAATCAGAATCAGACGTACTTTATTAATCCCTGTAGGGAAATTCAAATGTTACACAATTAACGTTTAGTAGATCGAGTAGTTCAGTTGATCGGACATAATTTACCTCTAATGTGTTTTTAAAACAAACCCTTTCTTATTTTAGAACATATGACAAGATGGAGAATATCCCTTTTATGTTCTACCCATAGGTTCTACCACACTAATTAAAGCATACAACCAGTTGATGTTATCGGATGTTAGTGACATTTCTTCAGTTGTGTACCTTAGCATCATCAGGTACACAAGTAGATTCACAAAGAATTACTGATGTTAATTGATCTTCTTAATTTGGTAAGGCTTAATAACACCTTTGCTCTATATAATCCTGAGGTTATTTGCCACAGGAGGTTAAAGTGTACAGTGTAAGTATTACAACATAGATGAGAGTGTCTCTGATATTTTTTTATCTTTTAACATCCATTTGTTCTCAATATACAATACAATATAAGACAACTTTAGCAATCCCAATGGTAATTTGGTTTAGGGCAAGTAAAGGCATGCACTTACAAACATCAAGAAAAACAAAATAACACTGTTTAAAATGCATTAATTTTAGTGTATTGTATTGATTAGCTTGTTTTTCCCTCCGGTGTTTTTAAGGAGGTACATGCAACAAACTTGCACCCATTCCACTTCCTGTTCACGTAAAGTAGAAACCGTGAATTTGTTTACGTCCGACACGCAACCAATCGAGTGCTGCGGGGGGCGCGACCAATGAAAACAGCCGCTGTAAACGCGTAGGACGGAAATAAGTTGCGTCAAGGTGGCGGAAACGACCAGGGTACGTGAAGAAGTTGTGGGATGTCAGTTTAAAATGACGCAGCTCACACACTGTTGTAGGAAATGGGAAGTTGACGTTGAGGGTTTTATTTTGACGGGGGTGACCGGAAGTGCAGTGGGTGTAGTCCCTTGGATTTGACTGGTACAAAAGGAGCAGGATGTAACGGTGCAAGAATCGGACTCGCTCAGCATCAATCCAGCCTCCAGGAGTCCGGCTCTGGGTTCATGTCGACGCGTAGGGTCGGCCTCGGGTGATGGCTGATGTGAGCACCGTCGGCACGGACCAATAACGGTTAAACAACATGTCCAACATCCTCGATGCGGCGGTCAGAGTCAGATGGGACCGCACGGCTGCGGCGAAGCGAGCCGTGTTTCTCGCAGCAGCTGCTTACGGCGTCAAAACACTGTACCCCATCATCTGCAGGCAGCTGAGCAGAGGCATTGATCCCGGGAGCAGCCGGCTCTCCAAGGCGGAGAACGGATCGACGTGTTCGGGAAACGCGCAGCCGGATGCAGCGGATCGCAGGAAGACATCGCCGGGGGTGAACGCGGCGTTTTTCAAGCAGATCCTCGAACTTGGTAAAATCCTTTTCCCCAAACTCGTCTCCAAAGAGCTGGCTCTGCTCTCTCTGCACTCGCTGGCACTGGTGTCCAGGACGTTTCTGTCCATATACGTGGCGAGCCTCGACGGTAAGATCGTGAAAACCATCGTGGAGAAGAAGCCCCGGAGATTCATCCTCCAGCTGATCAAATGGCTCCTCATCGCCATCCCGGCCACGTTCGTCAACAGCGCCATCCGGTTCCTAGAGTGCAAGCTGGCTCTGGCCTTCCGCACCCGGCTGGTGAACCATGCCTACCGGACCTACTTCACCGACCAGACCTACTACAGAGTGAGCAACATGGACGGGAGACTGGCCAATCCGGACCAGTCGCTCACCGAGGACGTGATGATGTTCTCCCAGTCGGTGGCTCACCTCTACTCCAACCTCACTAAGCCCATCCTGGATGTGGTGCTCACCTCCTACACGCTGATCCAAACCGCCAGGTCCCGGGGGGCCAACGCCACCGGTCCGACCCTGTTGGCCGGGCTGGTGGTGTTCGCCACGGCGAAGGTGCTGCGCGCCTGCTCGCCCAGGTTCGGTAAGCTGGTGGCCGAGGAGGCTCACAGGAAGGGCTACCTGCGCTACGTGCACTCCAGGATCATCGCGAATGCTGAGGAGATCGCTTTCTACAGGGGTCACAAGGTGGGCAGGGGGGTGATGACCTGTGGAGTACAGAGGTTGCTGCATAAACCATGATGTGGTCATTTCCAATAAGAGCTACAAGAAATCCATGTTCTCCATTATTATTGAAAAGGGTTAGGGCTAAAACTAGATTTTAACAAATTACTATAGAGGACAAAACCTGTGATTATTTGACAATACAGGTGCAAATCCCCATTGAATGTGCAATCAATTACCAAATAAGGACTTTGTACAGTGAACACAGGGCTCTCAGATCCCCTGGGGGACCCAGACTAGTTGCCCACTTTTCCTGGTTCATAGACCAGCCTGAGGTTAACTTTAAATAGAAAAATTATGCTCTGTATAATTTTTTTCATTTACCATCCATTCTTATCTTTATCTTCCAAGTTTAAACATATTCTAAGTGTTATTTCAGTCAATACAGGTTCAAGCTGATTGACTGAAGCCGATTCATTAAATAGTCATTTAACACTCCATTCCCCATAATTTTCTGCTGTATACTGTAATAAATTGTCTTTTGCAGGTGGAGATGCGTCAGCTGCAGAAGTGCTACCGGGCTCTGGCCGACCAGATGAACCTGATCCTGTCCAAGCGTCTCTGGTACATCATGATCGAACAGTTCCTCATGAAGTACGTGTGGAGCAGTAGCGGCCTCGTCATGGTCGCTGTGCCCATCATCACAGCCACCGGCTTCGCTGACAATGGTAAGGATTGTTGCATGAAAATAAAAAGTATAAAATTAGAATTAAAAGCTGAAGCCTGACTTAAAAGTAAACAAAACCCAGGTCACACATCTCTCCTTAGTATCTGAAGTGTAAGTGATGTTAACACTTTTCACAGTGAGGTCATTAGCATCTCCAAACCAACAGCTAGTGCTTCCTCCTCCAAAAAGAGCTGATTAGCATGTGTGAAACAGTAAGTGCCTCCCACTCCTCCCTGATGACATTTCAGTTGCATCAAAAGTATCAGAGTCCCTTTGTTTGCTGTGCTACTGTTCCAATGTGACCACAGCTATTTGTAGAACTTATTTCCATGGTATTCTAATGCTCACTGGCACAACTGTTGAACTTAAACCACATGCTTCCCCCCCGCTCTGTCTGTTTTCTCCATTTCCATCCTCAAGAAACAGCCGATGGTCAGACGCAGGTGATGGTGAGTGAGAGGACGGAGGCTTTCACCACAGCGCGTAACCTCTTGGCCTCAGGGGCAGATGCCATTGAGAGGATCATGTCCTCCTACAAAGAGGTGAGGACCATCCATACAGGGATGCTGAAGTCGGCGTAGCATTGCTGGAGTGCATTCTCAGAGAGGCTCTCTCTTTATCTCTGCTTGGGGTTCTGGCTTTCTGGTGCCCTGTCATTCTCCCTGTTTTCCATTAAAAGTTAAGAATAAAAGACACTAGTTTTTATAAGAAAATACCAAAACAAAAGCTCCTGAAAGATAGTTGCAGCTATGTACAGGGGCTTGAGTTCTCCTGCAGGGGCCACAGATTCCATTCAAACCCAGCCCTTAGCTGCATGTCCTCCTCCGCTCTCTCTCCCCTTTCACACTTGACTCTGTCCTTAGAACAAACACTTACTACTTAAAAAACATCTTAAAAGAAATAAGGTATGAGTAAATGAATATATTCTATCACAGAAACTAGTTATTTTGAATTGGCCCTGCTCCATCTCTGGGTCTAGCCATTCTCCCCTCCTCATGCCCCGATAACTGCACTTCATACATATTAAACATATTCTGAATTCAGATGCTGTAATCTGAGCGTCAATGTACGTAATCTTTGATTTGTAGTTGTGTGTTTTATCCATCAGAACAAGGCATTTGAAGACCTTAACATGGCCTCTGAAAAATTTAAATGGGGATTTATCCATCACTTTCTGACATAATGCTATATTGAGAATTAACAAGACAAAATAAAGTAGGGACATTTTAATTTTTCTCCACATTTTTGCAGCTTTTTGTGTTCATTTGTCCATGAGTGCTTTAGAGAGATCATTGGAGGAGGTACCAGACCAGATTTTTCTGATCAAGCCCAAACGAAGAACTAACTTTACACCATGATGTGTTTCTAAATTTAGTAGGGTTTCAGATATTCACATGATCAGCAGATGCATAAGCACGAGTGGTTGAGTCATTTGATTGGCCCGTGTGGGCCAGCACTTGGACAGGTGGACGGGTTGCATGGAGTGATTGACAGCTGCGTGCTCCGTGCTGCATATCCATCTTTCTCCTTGCATTCTTAACTAACTGACCACACATGCACGGGAAATTAAAAGAGTCCAGAGACTAAAAAAAGCAAACAAAGAAATAGAAGTCAATGAATGAAAGACCTTGTTCACTCAGGGCCAAATCCCTGATCTCCCGTTGCATTTTAATCCCCCCCCCAAAAAAATAGCAAGACCCATTCATGCATTCACTCTCTCTCTCCGGCTGCATTTTAAGGTCCATAAGAGGATTTAGCAGAGGCATGTTTGTGGGGAAGCTGTAATGAGTCAGGTGTACATTGTGTTGATCTGTGTCTGTGAAGAGAGTTGTAGATGTCTGTGCTTGTGGTGATAAAGAGGAGGAATTGAAATGCTTTCAAAAGTGCAGCAGGTTCCTTTTCATGGAATCCCATTGTGCCACTTGTCTCAAACACACAAAGCTGAATTCTACAAGCACACAAGAGGTTAACACTGCTGTGACACTTTCAGAAAAGACGTCACAAGTGAGACATTTTATTCCAGAGATGTGCAAGTCTGTGGCTGAGGAGATTTGCCTTTTTACATTGCAACTATCTGATGCTAAGCGCCTCCTGGAAGACGCAAGTTTTAGCCTGCACGCAGCTCTGTTGTGCCATGTGCCAACAACAGCAAGCCCCTGCCTGTCAGGACGAGAGATGTGTGAGTGTGTGTGCAATTTAACAGGCAGAAGAGATTGAGCACATTCCCGAGTTGCATCCAAACACACATGCCTGTTTTATACGACAGTGTGAATTTGTTTGTTGGGCGTCTGTGTGGCTGAGTGGTCAGATGGAAATATGACATGTCCCAGCTTGAAGTAGTTGGTTACTCATCTTGTAGTTTTGTTCCATCCCCATGTAGAATTCAAACCTTTCCCTGAAAATGAATGCTGAATAATCGCAGTGATGGGTTGGATCCATAGTTGTATCAGATTGGTCCTGTGATCCGTGTTAGAATGTATTCGAATAAACACAGGAATCATTAATAGGCATCAATTCCTCAAGATTGAATGTAATGCCTTTCATGTCACTGCAGGTCAACCAGCAGTGAATCCTGGTGTGTGTGTGTGTGTGTCCCCAGAGCAACTTCTCTCAGGGCTTAACCAGGCTGTGAATAATCCTCCATCTGTTGATCTTCCAGCCTACACTTCAGAATCTCTTCCTCACTTTCCCTCTCTCTCTCTTTATCACTCATACGCTCTGTTAAGTATCATGTACTAATTGTCAAAGGAGAAAGGACCAATAACAGACGGACTAACCTGTTACAACAACAACATCAGCAGTATGCACTTGGTCACTGTGCTAGCCTCTTTTTTGTAGCATTTAGGACTTTACTTATTGCATACTTAATTATTAATGCTAAACAGAATATCTTGAATCATTGTTTACCTACTTGCTCCTAAAAGCCTCGGAAGTGTTGCCTAAGTTTTCTTCATGCAAGTAGTGCTCACAATGTTTAAAGACAAAACTGAATGTATTGTACCCGCTCATGACTGAAGATATGTCTATAAATGCCTGGTGAAATATTTTTTGGCATGTGGTAATAGCACAGTTCAATACAGGACTGTCGCACCTGCCTATTGCATTTATATGTTTTTTGCATTTATATGTGTTTTTTTTATGTTTTTATTAAGCTCACACTTTTACACACAATTTTAAGTAGTTTCCCTACATATGTGACTAAGACAACTCTGGTTACTCTTTTCTTAAGCCTAAAGTATTACTTAACTAATAATTACAGCAACATACAATATGATTTCAGTTTAAGGAGATAAAGCAATACAGAAAATGATATTTCCTTGATGTAACATTTCAATGTCAAGTTATTAGCTCCATATTGTTTTTTTACTTGTCCATCCCTGCACTGAGATTTGATTTGTTTATCAACATGCTTTAGTATCAGTACTAATATCTTATATATATATAAGATAAGATAACATCAATATCTTCGAATACAAAGCTGCAACAAGCTTGCTATGGCTTAATTGATGCACAAGTTGCCCTTTCACATGAGTCCAGTCATTCCCTCCTTATTATTTCTATCTCTGCAGGCCCACGTGGTGCCTGTGAATTCCCAGAATTAGTGTTTGTTGTTAATACAATCAAGCTGTGTCAACAGCCAGCATTGTTTGGCTGCAGGGTGCAGCACCAAAGCCAAAGCAAGAGGGTGATTCTTCTGTTTTTTTGTCCCCCTACATTTGTGAAGGGTTTCATTTTATTTATAAAAAATGTTAATTTGTTTTTGCCCCATTTGCATTTGAGTGTATCTATTTTTTTAAGTGAAAATTATCAGAACTGCTCACCTACATCCTCCTCATTAAAATTATTTTCTCATAGATTTGATTAAACGTTTACATTCACTGAGAGCCCTTACACATTATGTACATCAGATTTTCACATTTGTGTATGTGTGTGCTCACTCTACACACTTCTACAACCCTACAAGAACACAACTCAGAGAAAAAAGTTAATGTAAACAATCATATCCATGATCTTGATTTTAGCTACATATATTTCAATTATTTATAGAATTGATAAATTATTAGAAATGTAATTATTAATTCTTACTAATTACTTTGTCAATATGTAATTTTTTTTTCATCATAATGTAATCACAACGGTTACTTTACATACTCCCTGACCTCTGTCACATTGTGATGTTTGTCTGGGTCACCTTAACATCCCTCAGAGTGTGACCTTTGACCCCGTGTGTGTTTTGGCACAGGTCACCGAATTGGCAGGCTACACCGCACGGGTCCACAACATGTTCGAGGTGTTCGAGGACGTCCAGAGGGGTGTTTACAAGCGCTCTTCGCTATCGGCCACAACAGGAGCAGAGAAAAAGAGCAAGCCTGAAATGCACATAGATGGACCGCTGGAGATAAAGGGTAGGTCTGTTGGGCAAACCTCAACATCTTCTTTTGTTTGCAGTACAGTATGAAGAACAAAAAATTATATAATCCGAAATAAAAAATAATTATAGTTTTCAATGAAAAAGGCATTACAGAAGAAAAAGGAATACAGAAATAAATAAATAAATGCAGAGGAAATTGATAAATGAATAAATGCAGAAATTAATGAAATACAGGAATAACAAACTATATATTGTAAATAAATGCAGGTATTTAATTATTTATTTTCATATCTATTTATTATTGATTAATTTATACTTAAGGTAATATTTTGTCCTTCATAGTATGGAGAAAGTCATGTAGTACATCCATGGTTGACTGACGACTATTTTCTATAAATTTGATTGTCTTGAGAAAATGTCAGCACTGAGTTAGGGGACAATTGTTTAAATGTTTTGTTTAAAATACAGCTGGATCAGAACTCTCCATTTATTCAGTCTTGTAGTAGCCACTCTCTTATGCCGCCCAAGAGATGGACTTTGCACGCTGACTACACTCTACAATTTCCCTTTCAATTATTATGCATGTTGCAAAACCCTTATGTAGGGCACCTTGTATAAGCTGAATGAATTCCTCAATCAACAACGTGACGTTACAAGCAATCAACAGCATCAAGATCAAAGGTTGGATTCATTGCATAAATGTCTTTGCGTAAGGATCATTTGATCCTGGAATGAATCTCCTGAGGGCAGTAAAGTGGTAAAAAAATGTAACCCCATGATTCCTGCTATAAAGGAATTATCACATCCATACTTATGCCTTGGCTGTGAGAGTCTAATCCTCTAATACACATGCACTCACACATGCATATACACAAGCATTTTTGCTCATCTATTTTTTTCTCTCTTTTGTGTCTCAAGGTGAAGTGATAGATGTGGACCAAGGCATTGTGTGTGAAAATGTACCAATCATCACACCCAATGGGGATGTAGTGGTGTCTTGCTTGAATTTTAAGGTGAGACAGCTCTTGGCCATTTAACTTCTTCCATCTTCCAGATTGTTCTTTTATTCCAACACCAAACCTTACGTTATATTACATATTCAAATCAGATAATATATTTTCATTCAAGACTTTCAGCTTTTCTCTGACCACCACAACTTCATCATCAAACCCCCTGGGGATTTTGGTCGAGGTGGCGTTTATTAGCATCTAAGAATAATCCTCGTTTGAAAAGAGATTCATCCTTTGTCAGGGTGTCACATCCCTCAGGGTGTTGGCTGCTGTAATGAGCAGAAAATAATTTTGTGGTGCTTAAAATTACACAACAGTGCGGAAATAATAGTCATGTGTGTTTTTCTAAACACTTCACATGTTATTAGGATATACATACCCTTTCTCTACTTACAGTATATTATGCAATCTGTGGGCATTAAAAGGAGCTGCTCCATAGTTATTAAGAATTTCAGTTTTTTTCTATTTTGCATTCAGTGCATGTTCTACATATTTCTGACTTAAACAGAGAGGCTGATGGTCTGCTGATCCCAGTGCTATGTTCTTCCGCTATGAATAAATTCGTTATTTTGATTTCATTGTAAAAATGAATGGCACTCAGTAGAGTGCATACCTTCGTCACGGACCAGCAGTCCCCTTATGAAGCCACATTTAAATAAACTACATCCAGATTTTATTTGGATGAATATCAAAGTTCATGCACTCATAGATAGCATTCCCCTAAATTTGATAGATCATTTTTTATCAGGATTCATGAATTGTTCCTTGGAAAATTGCTGAAAATGTCAAAAAATCCACACCAAAATTTAATTTGTTCTTTCTTTACCTATTTCCCATCCTTCCACTAAGTTTTGTGGAAATGTGTCATTAGTTTTTGTGTATTCCTGATGAAAAAACAAATGGATAACAAATGGACACATAACCTCCCTGGTGGAGATAATGATTTGATAAAAGCTGAAATCTTTTCAAAGTTATTTCTTCAGTGCTGTTTTACTTTTGAGTTTCCCCTTATTTACTGCCTCAGTCTGTACTTAGAAAGCCACACAGTAATAATGTATATGCTGTGCTGCTGCCCTGTTAACCTGGTAGCTGCAGACATACAAGACATCTGACTTCCAGCTCAGAGTTGCTCAATTTCAGAGAGCAAACGTAAAATGGTAAAAAGTAAAAGGATCTCTGAGGAGAACTTTTGTTCTCCAGAAGTGATTTTATGCTTCAGATCTCCTTCGTGCTGCACATGAAAAGCCACACACCCACTGATGCTTCCATCTCTCCACAACTTTATTTTCTAATGACTTCCTCTAATGATGCTGACGTCTGATTCCACTCCAGGAGGATTAATAAATTGTCTGTTTCAGGTGGAGGAGGCCATGCACCTATTGATCACAGGGCCTAACGGCTGCGGGAAGAGCTCTTTGTTCAGGATCCTCAGCGGCCTGTGGCCCGTTTATGGCGGACGACTACACAAACCCTCTCCTCAGCATATGTTCTACATCCCTCAGAGGTACACACAAACACACACACCCTCTCACACATCAGTGTGTCATACTAAAACAGATGTTAGGGTTTGATCATTGTACCGGTGAAACCGACCAGTAACTTAATCTATTGTAACAGGACCTGTGTGTGTGTTTCTGTTTGTGAGGCTGGTAAAGCGAAACAAGAGCACTTGCCACTGTGAAATATTTAACACCCAGACAAGACTTGAAATAAAGACTTGATATACTTTCAGTTACATATTCTTCATTTTACTTCTTCAAGTAGAATAATTAAGGAAAATTAGGTTAAAAGACCATGAGGTGAAACTATTTGAAACTTTTGTTTATCGTCATTTGATAGTAAGTATTACAGTGCACTCTCCCTGAGGTGCAACTCTACATCAATAAAGAAATCTGCCATTGTCCAGTGGATCATTTGCTCCAATGATCTATGAAAAGAGTTGAATGATTAACTGGAATTACTGGAACTACTGACCATTTAGGAATAAAACGTTTCTGTTATGTTATTCAATCATAGAATGATAACATCAAAATATAGCATTAACTCAAGCTGCTTTCAGACATGCACTGAACTCCAGATAATCTCCTGTTGTTTTGGCTGGATGTGAGAATGCTAATGTCCGAGTCAGTTGCTGCGGACATTGTCTGGTCATAATTCAGATTAATGTCGGAGTAAAACCATGTAAGAATACAGCAGGAGTGTATGTACTGTGGGTGCATTGAACACACTGCCAGAGATGTCAACTTAAAAAGACAGACCAAACAAAAGATTGGTGATAAGGGCCGACGCCAGTGTCCCAATGTAATTTCTTGGGGTCACCAGATGATTGTAGAGAAAAAACTAAATATAAATTCAAAATAAAATGACATACTTTAAATATGTGATAAGATCTTCTTTTGAATCAATGTTGTAATGTGTGTTTGTGATATTCAAAGTCTGTGTTGTAATGCTTAATTTGTAAATCAGGAGGTCCAGCATCTCATGAACTGAATGTTTGATTATACTGGCGGGTCACGACTCACTTTAAAAGGTTAAGAACCACTGGTTAGCAGGGCTGTAACTGTTCATTAGCAATCAATCTGCGGATCCTTTTTTTTGTTTGTTTTTTCTTTGTCAGGAGAAAGTGAAAAATGCCCACATGAAAGAGCTGTCAAAAAAACTGAAACTAAACTGACAATATTCAGTTTATTATCATATGACAAACAAAAGCATCAGAAAGTCACAATTTAGAATCTGGGAATGTTGACAACTTTGTTTGAACAATTAAAGAAATGATTAAGTGATTATCAAAATAGTTGCTGATTAATGTTTTATCGATTGAATTTTGAAACTGCCCATTCAAAGCTATTTCTGTTTGTTTTTCAGTTAAGTTAAATATTCAATAGAAGTCCTGCAGTCATGTAATCTTACTCTGGGCTTCTTAGATGTGCTGACTCAGTAGACTCCCTGCTGCAGGCGGTAAATATTTTATATATAGGATGAGACAGCCACCTGGCAGCTGTAACACAATCCCATACATTATCCACAATAGAAACAGCAGAAGGACAATGGGTATATTTTTCTTTCTGCATGTTTTTTTGAGTGTGTGAAAAATGTGCCGCTTTGTACAGTCACACCTTCTTGGTCAGCTCGTAGTGTCAGGAGCACTTAATGAAACGAGGGGTTAACAAAGAAACACTCAGTTTCTATGTGTGTGTGTTTCTCCAGGCCCTACATGTCCATGGGTTCACTGCGGGACCAGGTGATCTACCCAGACTCCGTGGAGGACATGGCTGCCAGGGGCATGGGTGACAAAGACCTGGAGGCCATCTTGGACATCGTCAACCTCAACCATATTGTCACCAGAGAGGGAGGTAGGATAAATAATAACAGCAGCTTTACAAATATGTGAACTGTGCGTTTGTGTAAGGCTGAAGAAAACTGCTGGAGCTTAAATAACAGGCAATGTGACCCCCTGCTTCACAGTAACATCCGACCTATTTCCAAAGTTTTGGAAAAAGTATTTTATAAGCAAGAGGTCCTGGACAGCAGCAACATCTTCGATAAATTACGGGCTGTCTCGGTCTAGACATAGAACTGAAACTGCCCTGCTCACATTTACAAATGATTTTTTAATGTGTTCGAATGCTGTGGAATGTTCACTTCTGTTGCTGCTTAACCTTAGTGCAGCGTACGACACTGTGGACCACTATATCCTTTTTAGTAGCCTTCAGCAATGGGCTGGTGTAACAGTGACTGCTCTTGACTGGTTTGTTTCCTATCTGTCTGATAGAAGTTTTCTCTGTTGTTTTGTGTCCTCATCTGATCAGCTGCAATGTCTCAGGGCTCAATCCTTGGTCTTTTCCCTTTTGCCTTTACATGTTCCCCTTTAGTCAATTCAAGTATATTTCTTATCATTGTTATGCAGATGACTATACGCAGCTGTACTTTTCCTTCAAACCCAACAAACTCTGTAAGCCCTCCACCATATCATTGCCTGATATCTATCAAGGACTGGATGTCTGACAATTTCCTCCGACTAAACTAAACCTTTTGTTTGTGTTTTGCTCAGTTTGTTTTGTACAGCACCTTGTTACTTTGGTGCTTTATAAATAAAAATGTAATTACTTACTTAGTTACTTACTCACTATATGTTCCTTCTTGTATGTTCAAGCCCAAATTTTTCTACAAGTTTGTTTTTTATCAGTTATACGATGCTATAAAAATGGGATGAAATATGATGAATATGATGAAGGACAGGTGAAACAGACTCATGATTGGTTGAGCATGTGTATCAGCGGTAACTCACCACCATGGCTCCACACCACAATCAATACTGCACTGACTGGCTACAAATGCGTTACCAGCGCAAGATGGCAATGTTCCTATCCAGGATATTTTGGCTTAATTTCTGGACAGTGGGAGGAAGTGAGACATAATACGTTGTCTTAATTTAAGATTTTCTATTTTACTTAGATCTTGATTTATTCAGTGTGGCTGAATCATCTTCTTCTCTCTCTCTTCTTATCCATGTCTCGATGGAGGATCTTGATGAAAGAAATCAGGCAAATTTAAAGACTGATATCCATGAGTGTGTGAAATTTGGTTAAGATTTGCCTTCTGTAACTGCACTGAGCCGCTCCCACCTCTCTCACCACCACAAACAAACAGACAGGCCTATTGTTGAAAACAAAGTACTGTTCAAAGCTTAGAGCTTAGAGGGTTTAATGTATGAATGGCCACACTGTGGAAATGTTAAGAAACGTCCTTATCAAGCACACAGATCAGTTCACGCACATGCAGTCACGCATATGGGCACGCATGCAGTTTAAGTGCGAGGGACTGGGTCTGTTTCATCTTTGAAAATGTTTGCAGGAGAGAACAGTCTGACTGTGACACGGTGCACCTCGACTGGTTAAACCTTTTAGCAAACATCACATATTGGTCTTCCAGTCCTTTGTGTAAACAACCACACAAAACCACTCTGTAAAACCTGTCTGTTTGCATTTTAATTATTTATGACATTGCTCAAAACACATTGTTGAATGACTATGTAAAGGTGTAATGCAGCCCAGTCTTTAGTGTCCCATCATGCTCTACATGCTGTTCCACACACTTTAAGACTGGACAACGTCTTCTTTTTTATTGCCCAGGCTGGGATGCTGAGCTGGACTGGAAGGATGTGCTGTCAGGGGGCGAGAAGCAGAGGATGGGCATGGCTCGCATGTTTTACCACAGGTAAGTTGAAGCAGTGCCATTGTTGTCTTTCATTAAGGCCAGTTTGGCCCTCACACACTGGACATGTGACAGACCTGCAGCATTAAACTGCCAAAATTACTTCTGACAACTTCCACCAACATTAGCAGTTTTTTATTTGGGATGTCAGTGACCTCGTTCAGACCTGGTATAAACGTACATACAGACTGATTCAATCACAAGTGGTCAGCGCTAAGTACAGGTCTGAATGCACATAAATGCGTCCTCAACGTGAGATCATGAAACTACATTGGGAGGTGGTCTGGGCCACCTAGAATGTGGCCACATTCTACTCAGCTGACGTCTCTGCTACACTTTGACAAAGAATCAAACTTATTTTTCACTTCTCAGGGATTTGTTTGTTTTTAGCCGTCGTCATAATATCAACACTGATTATAATGCTTTTCTTAAATTGGTAAAAGCACAAGATTCAGTCAGTCCTTCCCGACTCCTTTCTCTTTCTACCTGTTCCTCTTTTGTTGGTGTTAGACTGTATGTCAGGGACTTGTTTTGTGTTTTTCGCCACCCTGTCTCTGGCATTGGGATAACATGGACCTTGAGACAGTCTCTATTCTTAAAAAAACAATAATAATCTTGACATGACTTAGTGACCCAGACTTGTTATCTAAAATTAGTTTTCATCTGAATAAACAGCAATTATTTAAACCCTTCCCCCCTGTGTGTGTCAGGCCTAAATATGCCCTGCTGGATGAGTGCACCAGCGCTGTGAGCATTGACGTGGAGGGAAAGATTTTCCAGGCTGCCAAGGACGCCGGTATCTCCCTGCTCTCCATCACGCACAGACCCTCCCTGTGGTGAGACCCATAATATGTTCAAGTGTATTTTGTGAAAAGAGAAATTGTAGTTTTTCCCATTATCCTGCTTTAAATCACTCCTCTCCTCCTCCAGGAAGTACCACACCCACCTGTTGCAGTTTGACGGCGAGGGAGGCTGGCGCTTTGAGCAGCTGGACACGGCGACACGCCTCTCCCTCACTGAGGAGAAGCAGCGGCTGGAATCGCAGCTGGCCGGCATTCCCGAGATGCAGCACCGGCTCAACGAGCTCTGCAAGATCCTAGGAGATGACTCTGTCCTCAAAACAGCAGAGGAGTGAGAGAGTAAGAGAAATGAGAGGGGGGAGGCAGGGGAGGCAGGGGCCCAGAGGGGAAATAGAGACAAGCGAGTGAGAGCAGGAGAAGTGGAGGGAGATGGGGAGAGGAGAGTGTGGGAGATGAAGAGGCAATGAAAGAAAAAATCTGGAGGGGGTTTGTTAGTGGTTTTTTTTAGTTTTTTGTTTAGATTTTTTTTCTTTTGCTCCGAGCCCCTTCTGTCAAAGCAGGGGAGCTCTAATGCCAACTTGTCTTTCAGCTCTCAGCTCTCCCTCTTCTTCTTTTTCATCTTCCCATTCAGAGAAGTGGAGGGGGGGGAGGGGTGTTGAAGCGGATTGACCAGTATTGTTCCCCCCAATGTGACGCACACATTATGACTGCCGTATACCTTAAACGCATGGTTTTAGCGTATGTATACATCCACTGCAAGATGATTTAGCAGAAGGGTCAAATCTTGGTTCATTTGTTGTTTTACAGCACTTTACTCTGCTTTAGAGGCTTTTTGTCTTTGTTGTGGTCGCTCGTCGTGAAATAAGTTGATCGCTTATTAGCTGGAAAACGTTTTAATATAGAGCCACTAAATGATGTCCAAAGCAGTATTTCAATCCACACCCAGTGTGCGGGCTCTGCAGGATCCCCGTTTGTTTTTACTTCCGGTATATTTTTAGCTTTTACTGAATTTAATGTGACCTCTTTGTTCGCAAGGGGGTCACAAGAGACTGTCCTTAGAAATGTCACAATATGCCTTTGCTTGGTTTGTGTACAATATCCAGCCGCAGTACAATCCTTCACTCCATACCTCATTTTAGCTCCTGGTAACTTAATATACAAGACCCCCTGAACTACTCATAGGCTAGGCCAACAAATAAAAAATAAAGAGGTCTGTTGTTAGAGTGATTAGTGACGAGGCTCTGACTCCAAAACTATATGAAAACAAACACAATGGGCTGAAGAGGCCCCTCTTCAAAGGAGGAGGAGCGGGCAGTCCGCTGCAAACACTCACACAAATAAAGTACACTGCAGGTGAGCAGGTAACCTTTCAGACAGTGTCAGATTCAGTTCCAAACACTGGCCACCTGTCGAAGTTCACCCTCCTCATCCTCGCCGTGTTGAGACAAAACACACTAGTGTGAGATGCCTGCTGGGACTCTGCTTTGCCAGCAGAGCCGCTCGTGCTCTGCGAGTTCTCCTGAGCCCGGGCGCACATGAACGCACGGTGGTACTGGACCATGAGCTGATAACCAATCAGCAGCTTCTGCAGTGAACAGAGACCTCATATACATTCGGATATAACATACAAAGATTTTATTTCTCAACTCTGCAATGTAAGCAGATTAATCGCTTAATATCATGAAGTGTATGGTTACATGCACGTAAATATCCCAGTTTATACATTTTATTATGTTATATTATATGAGGCCTAATTGGGTGTACTAAATTTGCATGTTCTGTTATTAGGCTAATATTCAGAGGATCAGGCTGGTTTATCGACTGAAACGCTTTAATAGTTGACGTGAGGTTCTGTTGTTTTTCCTTCTGCTGTCAACGTTCGATTGTTTTTCCTCCGTGTTTGTTACCAGCAACTTACCTGAAGTTGTGATACTGTGAAAGTAGTGATTTATCACATTAACATTGTTTTGTTTTGTATGAGAAAACACTGTGTTTTTTCATGTGCTGGTTCTAAGCTGTGTCTGCTTAAGTTATGTACAGTGTATTATTTTCTTTTCGTGGTTCAGACCCCTACGCTTAAATATCAGGACCCTCGCGCTACATCCATACTGCTACCCTCTAGGATCACTCTTTTCTCCTTCAGTCTTTCAGCTGCAGAGAAACAATCTGATTTCAGTTTACACCTGAACACACGTCTCCAGAGCACATACATTGACAATAATTATTTCTGATATGGAGCTAAAAGATCATTTTAGATTTAAAACAAAAACATATTATTATGGTTGTAGCCTCAGATTGTTCTGGGTTCAGTGGGACAGAGGATCACGTCCTCCATTGTCCCATTCCTTTATCATCCTCAGATTTCACTATAGACACATGGACTTCAATGTGTGCTTTCATTCATCCTGGTTCTAAATCAAAACAAGTGATTGAAATGATCAATAACACCAAAAAAACACATACACTTAAATTGTGTTTTTGTTCTGAGCGACACTGAAAACCTTTACTTCACCTTTAATTTTACGTTTCTTCCGTAGAATTAATTAACATGTGATGTAGCACATTAGAAATGTGTTTGTAGTGAAATCTTTTTACATTTTAATTACATCATCCAAATGTTGCACAAACAGGGGTACACAGGATTTCTTTTGGAAATGTTCCTGTACCATTTTACTCTTCTGGACACAGATATCTGGACTTTGTGTATGGGCCGATACTAATACGATTCATATTTACAGCTTGAAATTTAGCCAAATTCCTGATATTTTTGCAAGTTCTGGCAAATGCTACACTACTGGAAATAATATCGTTAGTATCAGTGGTATCAGTGACCCGGCCGTTTTAGCAGTGTGAGTCTTTTCCTGGAACGTTTACAATATCTTTATCTCAATGTCACACTGTACTGATACTAGTCCATGTCACTGCCAAGGTGCAGGGCACAGTGTGATAATATGAAGTCACGTCACTGGTTCATCTGCCGCTGTTTATTTAATGTGCAGGCTGATGCCCTCATGTAGGTTTCTTTTCAAAGAGAGTGGACAATCAGTTACATCATCAGTGAACCGCTAGGTTTCCAACACTATGGCTTATTATTATAATTCAGAGAAATGCTTAATAACAACTAACTCCACCTTCATCATCTAATTTGCTATGGACCCTCTAATGTACACTGTTTCATATGCATGTGAAAGTTTAACAACTCCCTCAGGCCTCTTCTTCAGTCTAAGGCGTATAAAAGTGCCACATCCCTCCTCCATTGAGAATTCTTTTTTTTTTGAAAAGCTTAGAAACCTCCTCTTTTGGCTTTCAGTTCAGGAGGAAAGAATTTTAGAGCATTTGAATGCAGCTCTGGTCCGATCAGGACGACGGCTGCAAGTTTACTAAAGTACAAACTGAGACTTTATTCCCCCCGAAATGTGACAGAAGACAAAATGTTAAATGAATTCCTTTAACATCTAAAGGAATAATAACTGGAATGCTCTGAAAGGTAATAAAAAGAGTGTCTTGGGCATTAGGTACAGACTCTCTCTGCGCTGTTAGTCAGACTCTGTTGACAGGAGGCCAGACGAGCCGCTGAATGACGCAGAGTCTGCAAAGAGACACTGGAACATGAGGTCAGCTCCAGAGCAGATAGTGTCTGAAATACATAGCAATGAATAATGGGCAGTAATTGGGCTTTAATCCTCTTGAAAGGGCGGGATAAGAAAAGATGAGGTGCCTTATTACTGCAGTCGTCTTCTTTCGCTTCTGAAATAGTGTGTTTATGTGATATTACTTTTCACACTACATATTTTGTCATTAACAGGCAAAGAGTGGACTGTGGGTTTATAGTAGTGAACCCTACATGTGCGGTGGTAATAATTAAATCAGTTGTTAACTATTATCCAAATGATCGCATCGAAGAAACTACAATAGAGCAAGTCCCCGAAATCCTACATCAGTATTCATATGTTAAATAATGAATACATGCAATTAAAGACATTTTGCCTGGGTCGGAACCGAAAGTGGATGCTGCACGAAGACTCCAGCCTCCAAGTGGTCAAAATCACGCTGCTAGGGAAAGTGATAAAATTGGTGTGGTACTTTTTTGCGTAATCCTGCTGACAAGTAAACAAACCACCTCCCAAGCGGTGGTGATAATGATCCGTGGGTGAGGTTGTCAGGGATTAAAACATGGCACCTCATCAGTTCTTATCCCCTCAGGTACCAAGTAAAGAAAGCTCACTACTCTGTGTGACCCTGCTGTGTACAGTCATGACATCCTTACTAACAACACTTGGAAACCCTGATTCTGTGTTTGTAAGTAAGAGATTGAATGTGTCCATCATGTATGACAAGACAATGAATACATGTGGTCTATACATACAGGTTTTATTTTTGTTGTTTTACAATGAAGAGTTTTATAATTGTGTTCATAGTGCATGTAGAGCTTTCAGAGCTGCGTCGTTGGATTGACTAGAAATGTGATGTGTGAACTGGGATCACTAGACAGGAAAATGCTTCTAAATCTGAATTGTCACATTATTCCAGTGGTGCAGGAAAGTCTGATCAATACTTATGAAAGGTTGATAGTTTCAGAGATATTGATCCAAGTGTCCTAGAACACAGAACGTGCAGCGATTCTCCCTCAAAGTCAGGGATTACTACAGTTTATATCTAACACATAGTTACTTTCAAGAGAGCTCTGTTTGCAATCAAACTCCAATATATAGACATATTTTATATTTTGAATTGCTGTAATATTAGCGCAGACCTTCTCTACTGAAATCTCATTGTGCATGTGTAGTGATCTGTCTTCTTTAATCTTAGAATCATGGGAGGTACATTGACGTACGGCGCATCTGTTCAAAAAAATGTGCAGACGACAGTTTACGTTGAAAGATGAAGATGTATTTTCATGTAAATAAAACGATACACTGCAGCTTTGAAGAACGAGTTATTGTGAATTCATTGCCTCCATCATTCACCCACCATCCCTCTGCAGTAATGTCCATCTCATATAGACATGTCTGTTGTTAATATGTGAATTTTCTTTTTTGAATTCAGAGAAATCAATGTCATTAGCTGAAGTAGGTGTTGAACTGCTGATTTGCTCTTATTAG